AAAAGAATTGGCTTTCTTCTTTAAAGAAAATAAAAAAGAAGATACATCCATGCAGAATCTTTGGGACACAATGAAGGCCTTTCCCAGAGGTCTGACAATAGACTATACAAGAATGAGAAACTTAAAGAAAAGACAAACATGCAAAGATTTAGAAAAAGACTATATGACACTGGAAAAAGAGCTACAGAAATCTCCACAAAAGAAAGATATTAAAATAAAAATGGATACAATTAAACACAAAATGGATTTACTGGAAAAGGAGGAATTGGCACAAAAAAGTAGAGGCGCTAAACAGAATTACTTTGAAAATGCAAATAAGCCAGACAGATGGTTGGCATATAAACTGAGAAAGGAGAGAGAGGTAAAGAAAATACAACACTGCTGCAACCGTTGGGGGCAGGTTTTAGCCCGCCACAGCCCAGCGCTGCTTCAGGGTTCGCGGAGCGAGTGCGGCAGCACAGAGTCAAGCTGGAGTGGGGGCGGCCCGAGGCGGCTGGGCTGCGCGGCACCATGCGCGTCCTCAACCTGGCTTACGAGAAGAGCGTCTCGGTGCGCTACATGCTCAACCGTTGGGCCAGCTGCAACGAGGTGCCCGCCGGCTACTTGCCGCCGGCCACCGCCGCCCACCGCCGCCCACAATGGCCAGGTGGACCGCTTCGCCTTCCACCTGCCCGTGGGCGCCGGGACCACGCTGCTCAAGTTCACCGTCCGCTACCGCATGGCCGACACCAAGTATTGGTACAACAACGACGATGGCCACAACTACAAACTGCGCTGCTTTCAGGACCCCGCAGAGGAGGAGGACAAGTAGGATGAGGAGCTCGCCCCCCCCAACTATTGCCAGCTGCCCCAACTGCCTCAGACTTCCTGCGCCACTTCCAGGCCCCCGCAGAGGAGGAGAATGAGGAGCTCCCCCCCAACTACCGCCGGCTCCAGCCGCCTCGGACTCGCGCTGACTCACGTCTCCAACTCCGGCACGGGGCTCTCCTCTGCTGCTTCCCGCAGCCTGGTCCGAGACCGGGCCCTCGTCCAAGCCCCACAGGGAAGGCGCTCCATCTCAGTTCAGCTCCTCTCCCTCCTCCCTCCCTCTCCCTCCTCTTCTCCCCTCCCCCCCTCTTTCCCTTTCGGGACATTCAATTTTTTTTCTTTTTTACTGTTCTTAAATTATTTTAATTGCCATCGATTTAGGAACGGCATTTTTTAGCTGGTTTGCTGGGTGTATGAGTGTATGAATGTGAGAGAAAATGTGCCCACTTTTAATTTAATTTATTGTATTNAAAGGCAAGGAGATTGTAGTCTTAAAGCAAATTCCAAGAGTGAGAGAGAAGAAAATATCAATTCCTGACTACAATTTTGCTTAAGATAGGAGTTAACTATAGATGGCTGATACTGGAAGGTTTAATATTTCTATGGAAAGGACAAAGGTCCAGAATTGATACAACTAAAAAAGCAGAAGTCTTCTATACAGAACATCTGAGAGAAAAGGCTGAGAAGACTGGAAAAAAAAGAACTACTGGTGCAACTGTTAGATACACCCATGACTGAAACTGAGAAGATGGAGGGCTCCGTAAGTGGGATTGATATTGAAGAAGGTGCTGTAGGGGGTGTAGATATCAGAGAACAACAGGAACCAAGATCAACTAAAACCATAAATCCTACATATAAAACATAACGATGGAAGAAAAAAAATACTTACAATTAATATAAATGGACTTAACTCGGCAATTAAAAGAAGGAAAATATTTCACAAATTAGAAAAGTTAAAATTGGACATAATTTGGTTACAAGCAGTACATATTCAAAAAAGATATGGTCACTTATTAGTACAACCAAAACTTGGAAAAAAAATTACCTCTTTGGCGGACTGCAAGAAAAGAGGAGTGATTTTTTATATTAAAGACAAAATTCCAGCGAAACAAATTTATACAAATGAAGACGGAAGAATCTTGGTGGAAATTATGGATAAAACTGGGAAAATACTTTTAATTGCAATCTATGCACCTAATGAAAAACACGATGAATTTTATAAAAAAAACTCCACAAGGAAATCTGTGACTTAGACTATGTTGATATTTGTATGATGGGAGATTTTAATGGAATTAGAAATCAGAACATGGATTATAAAACACATAAAACAATAAAACAAATAGAAAAACACTCCCGGATAGTCACTCATGCCTTCGTCACCTCAAGACTGGACTACTGTAACGCGCTCTACATGGGGCTGCCCTTGAAGAGTGTTCGAAGACGTCAGCTTGTCCAGAACGCAGATGCGCGAGCGATCATTGGTGCACCTCGGTACACCCACGTTACACCTAACCTCCGCGTGCTGCACTGGCTGCCCATTGGTCTCCGGACACGCTTCAAGGTGCTAGTCGTTACTTTTAAAGCCCTACATGGTATCNATTGTTCGTTTATAATTAGTAAAAGTACACTTGATTTCAATTCAAATGGAGTTGAGTGGTTTCTTTCCTGATTACTAAATGAAGTGAATGCTGACAGTATGCTTAGTTCTTCAAGATGTTTGGACTCTGAAGGAACTTTGCTGAGTTCCTTCAAAAACTGTGTATAAGTGTACCTAGAAGAATTAGTGCTGGTTTAAAGGGTAGTCACACCAAATATTGATTTGATTTGGATTTCTCTTCTGTACATTTACTTTCCATTTGTTGATTGATAAAAATAAACTATTAATATTTCTACTTCTGAAAGCATTCTTATTTTATAGCATTTTTGCACAGGTACCTAACACTTTTGCACAGTACTTATATGTGGGTTTATATTTGGTGATACTGCTGCAGTTTAGTAATAATAATGACCTTTTTCACTGACCTGTTTCTTATAGCTCACATGAACTCAGTTAGTCTCAGTTTGCTTGATAGGGCATTGGTGACACCTGGAGAAAACAACTTCACAAGCTTCACAAATAAACTAATTAAATTTTACATTTAAACTTTGCAGCAAAAATGTACTGTTTTTATTGCAATTACCTTTAATTGCAGCTAAATATCCCCGGAGCTCTTTTTGAAGTCTGGAACCTTCTGCCTGAAATACAAAATAGAAATAAAATAAAATCCTGTAAGCAACTCAGATCCATGAAGAAATTAATTCTCACATGTGGTTATTATATATACACTATATGCAATACACGGCTGTATTAATATAGTATATCAATTCAGTTACATTTAATCTCTTAAAAACTAAAACAATGAAAAGGCCTCTATAAATCAGCTAAAATCCCCACATATTTACCAAGTGATTCCATTATGTAGCTAGTTTCTAAAGTGTAATGCAAAACAATTTTCTACAATATACTTGGCTTCAATGCAAGTCATTTGATGTCTATGGAGATTCTCAATTATCCATGTCATGGTTATCCCAAAAATGCTTTTCAAAAGGCAAGTGGACTTCCTTGGTTTTTTTCCTTGAAAATATTTTGCTTCTCATCCAAGAAATGGAATTTTGCCTTTCTGGGCACCTCTGGGACAAGTCATTTTCCAAAGTTTCTGGCTCTGCTCCTTGGAACTGTAAAGCAATTTACATGCCCAGAAGACTCAAAATGATCTACAGAGGTCCATTGTTTAAATATGTGCTGCATTGTATTATATTGTAGTGGGGATCTAATATGGGTATAGTGGTTAAACAATGCTGGACTAGCAGATTCTAGTCCTCCATTGGGGATGGAAATTGGAAACATGTAAAGACAAACCTGTATTCAACTTAGTTTTGAGAGGTAATTTTTCACTATACGTTTGTCTAATCCAATATAGGCAATCCTCAGCTTGAGCCCCAAATTTATGTTGCTAAATGAGAAATTTGTTGAATTTTGCATTTTATGACTTTTCTTGCCACATTTGTTAACTGATTCATTGCAGTTGTTAAGTTAGTAACATGGTTGTTAAGTAAATCTAGTTTCCCCATTGACTTTGCTTGTCAAAATGTCACAAAAGGTGATCACATGACCTCAGGACACTGCAACCATCATGAATATGAACCAGTTGTCTAGCATCCAAATGTAAATCACATGACCATGGGGATGCTGCAATGGTCATAAGTGTGAAAAATGGTCATACATTACTGTTTACAGTTGTAACTTCAAATGATCATTAAACTGCTGTAGGTCAAGGACTACCTGTACCATTTTCTCTCTCCCAGCCAATTGAAAGGCTTGGTTAATCAAGATCTACTTAAAATAAGCCCAGAAATATTTAAAAAGGAAAAAATAAACGTCAAAGTATGAGTTACTGTAGTATGATTCTGAATATGTTAGGAGCAAATATTTTGAGTACTCTCATCAGTATAGACCAAAAATAACAATTTGCTTTTTAGGTCAGTAAAAGCAGAGTTGTTACGGCAAATTTGAAACTTTCGGCAAAGACCATCTCTTAGTTTAAAGTATAATAACAAAAAACTACAACGTATCTGTAATCAACAGCAAATTAAGTTGAATCTCAGTCATAATTTAATCACATTTTTTTCGTGCTGGTGTTTGAAAACTGATCCCATAATAACAAAAACAATTTTAACTTCAAACTCTGATACTTTTTTGATTGGACCTATTCCTTTGGGTCTTAAAAAATATAACATATACTGAATGGCTAATAAATAAAATCTACAAAAAAATTAACAAATTTTAATCCAAGAGTTTCAAGCAGGATTTCTCTTTAGTGCTACATTTAAGTATGACTGGAGTGAAGCTTTCAGACAACTGCAGTTTGCATCCCTTAACATAATATTTACATTGATGCCTTGAAAGGTGGACAATAGAGGAAGCTGTTAGAAAGATCACAATTAATATTTCTTACACATTGTCTGAGCATATATTTCCACTGAAGTGCTTCAGTTGGCCTGAACCATGCAAGAGATTCTGGGAACATTAGAAGAGCCTAATCAGAGAGTCTCCTTTTTTACAAACACTCAAAAATCAATTATGTTTGGTTGATTAAAAAGAAAAATTGAAATAAATACAATTAGTACAGGCTGTGAAATACAGACATGCTCCATGACCTCTTTTTAAAGAAGAAAAGAAAGCCATTAAATTAAAGTGTTTGTCAGTTCTTTCATCTGCTAGATTAAATACAAGAATGGGGTCTGTTTTCGTTTTTACCAAATTCCAATTTGTAATGTATTCCAATCATGAACATTATAGCTTTGTGGGATCAGTTGGAAATTAGAAATCAAATGTAAATAAGTTTGCTGCAAAAGGTGGGAGAATAAGCTGAGTTTGCTCCAGCTTTGCACATCCATTTGCATTCCTTCAGTTGGCAGATAGCTGCAGGAGGGTGAAGAGAAAAGGTATTTTTCTGCACCTGGGCAGTGTTTGTACAGGTACAGTCTGAGGTGGTGTCAGCAATCACTGTGTGAGGGGAGCCAGGCTTGGCCACCCACTATTGCTTTGATCGAAGTGTGGGCAAGTAGGTGAAGGGCAGCCAGGAGCTATTGGTTTGTCCTCCACAGCAGTTCCAGTTCCTCATGTGGCTTCTTAGGAAAGTTAATTGCCCATTCCTGAATTAGACAAAAACTGAGAAAAAGCACTTTGTCCAAGTGAATGTAAATATACGATGATGATGATGATGATGCTGATGATAGGGGAAGGGGAGGAGGTGGGAGGGAGGAGGAGAAGGAGGAACAAGAGAAGGAGAAGGAGGGAGGAATGAGGAAGGAAAGAAGGAAGAGAAGAAAGTGGGGGAAAGAAAAAGGAGAAGGGGGGGGCAAAAAATGTCAAATCCAATCTGAACATCTGGCTATGTGATGGCTTATAATAATAATTGGCATTAACAAATTCACCATTGGTCAATTGTAAAAGACAGCTTTATTCGGTACAGCTTACATTCTTTGACAATATCCCTAACATCATCAAACACGAAAATCAGCCTACCCTAGATCCTTGGGAAGGATTGATAGTAGACAAAAATGCCAAATCCAATCTGGACATCTGATTGATTGTGCAGTAAATCATAATAATGACAATAGTAATAATTTTCAGAACTATCTTAGAAGGATACTTGACATAAATATATATATACACATTATCTCTATTATAACGGAGATACAGAACAAAGTCATCTATTTCACACTCACTCTTTAATACAAATTGAACTAAAGTGTTTTGTTTGAATGCAGATGATTCTAAAAATGCAGATAATAGAAAATGCAGGTTGTCCTCAGCTTACAACCATTCATTTAGCAATAATTTTGGTTGCTATATCTTTCAAAGATCCTGGAGCACAGGGGAATTACCAGAGGACTGGAAAATCCTCTGAAGATATATTTCCCATCTTCAAAAGCAGGGAGGGATAGATCCAGGAAACTACAGACCTATCAACCTGACCTCAATACCTGGGAAGATTCTGGAAAAGATAATCAAGGAACGAATCAGCGAAGCAAACAAAGTAATAATCAAAAGCCAACATGGGTTTGTCAAAAACAGATCATGTCAGACTAATCTTATTGCATTCTTTGACAAAGTNTATATGAGTCTATCTCATATATTAGTTTCACCTTTTAAGTTGCATTACTGAAATAAATGAACTTTTGCACGGTATTCTAATTTTTCAAATTTCATCAGTTTTATCTTCTGATAAATTACCCCCCCACAGACCCACAGATTGCACCATTGATATTTTGCCTGGGGTAAAGCTTCCAAAGCCGCAAATATATTCAATGTCCCCTAGAGAAATGGAGGAAATGAGGAAATTCATTAATAAGAACTTGGAAAGGGGTTTCATTGAACCGGAAAGACCCAAGGTAGCAGCTCCAGTATTGTTCAGAGAAAAGAAAGATGGCTCCATGAGATTATGTGTGAACTTCAAAAACCTGAACGCAATATCATCCAAGAACCTTTACCCATTGCCACTGATGAAGGACATGCTGGCCCACCTGGGGAAGGGCCCTATTTTCACTAAGTTGGACTTAGAGAGGCATATTATAGAGTCAGAATTAAAGAGGGGGACGAATGGAAAACTGCTTTCAACTGCCCCCTTGGTTGCTTCCAATTTTGAGTAATGCCGTTTGGCCTACGGGGGGCACCAGCGGTCTTCATGCAACTGATTAATGAGGTTTTGCATGACCATCTTTACAAAGGCGTCATCTAAATAGACGATATCCTTATTTACATGGAAACACATGAAGAACACATGAAGCTGGTTCGCACAGTGCTGAAGAAACTTCAGGCGGCTGAACTCTACACCAAATTGTCCAAGTATGAATTCCATCAGGAGAAGGTTGACTACGTAGGATATCGCATCTCCCACAAGGGTGTTGAGGTCAAGGCAGTCACCAAGTGGGAGGCCCCTCTTACACGCAAGCAATTGCAGAAATTTTTGGGTTTTGCTAATTTCTATCATCAATTTATTCCCTCTTTTGCTAAAATAGCCCTCCTGATAACTAACCTCCTTAAGTCTAAGGGTGAGGCAAAACCCAAACCTAGCAAGCCGCTGAATTGGACTATGGAATGCCAAGCTGNAGCTCAATGAGTCTTTAATAGAATTTATACCATTTTAGTTGTTTTAAATATTCTCACCAATGCTGCTGTGTTGCTATTTTCTCTCCCTCATGTGCGGTAGTCACCACCCAAAATCGGCCATGGACTTCTTCTCCGGTGATTTCAAGGGGTTTTCCCTCATCCGATAGGGAAGTTGCTTGCTTCCTCCTTCGGCGCCCGGGCTTCCCCTCTCTCCTGATCCCTCCAGGTTCAACTTGTCCTTTTTCAGGATCTTCACAACAGAAACTCAAGCAAAGCTAGTAGAGCTACCATTTCTTCACCCTCATGGAAGTGATGTCACCACAGGAAGTCCCCTGGAAGCCATATTTTTCATTGGACCTTCAGGGCTGCCACATTTAGTGCCTGGGAAAATGGGAGGGGGGGGTTGCGAGAAGTCGTGGAGGATTAGCCATAACAACATTCCTTTCTTTGGGAGTCAAGGGCATTCGGCCTGCACCTGGATGGGAGTGACTGGAGGTTGTCTGAATTGATTGGACCATTGATGGACTTGTGGGTGCAGGGAATGGATCTTTGACTTTCTTTTGGATGGGGAAAACCCAGA